TGTTCTACTCTCAGACAAAGACACCAGAAGGTCTGACACTTAAAAGATTTTCAAAGAACCGGGAAGTCAACTAAAAGATTCCTTCAACGGCTAGGAGTATGAAACGGAAAAGCTACAGTGCATGCATTAAATGCTCATTTAATGCACCCCATGCTACGTAGAGTAATTGCAGATGATTGGCCGCAATGTCAGGAATACTTTATCCCAAAATAGTAACCCGCCAACTTTATCGGGCTCTACTAGTCAAGTCAACTGATCGCGCATTAAATGCAGTTGTCCTCCTACTCCTCCAACGGGAAGACAACCTCAGTATAAAAGATACACTACGAAGAACAACTGGATAACTTTGCTATAACTTTGCCAAGATTACATTGCAACTTTTGCTAACCACAAGCAAGATATTCAAACTCTGAAAAGCAAAAAGCCTCCTTGAGATTCAAACTCATTATCCTCTACAAGAGAAGGCAGAAGTTGGAAAAATACTCTTTCCAACTCAAGCAAAGTTCCAAGTGTTCTTCAACTCTTCAAGCTCATCACATACAAATCTTTTGTAACGAAGCTAGTTGGAGGAACCCCAGTTTCAACAGAAACTCTTCTTGCTACAAGAAGGACGTCCAAATAACTGGAGTAGTGAAGTGGTGATACTTCAAGGAAACTCAGTGAAAGGACCAGTGTTAAAGGAAGCCAGGCAGTGCATCCCAGGACACATCTAGGCTTGAAGAAGACGTGGAGTGCTTCTTAAGTACTAGGACTAAGGCTTTGTAAACGGCAGTTTTTACAGCTTAGTGGAACAGTGGATTAGAGGAACGAGTTGTTCCTTGAACCACTATAAAAATCCCTGGTGTCGTTTACTTACTGCTTTTAATACTTGCACTTAGTTAGAACTGTATAACTCCTTGGACTTGGTATCTGTGTTCAGCAGAACTTGTCCTACGAGTTAACAGAAGGCCTACTGCCTATTGCTTCTCTGAGGCTAACAGAACTCCCTACCAGAACCCCATCCGCTGCCAGTCTGTTCTTTCAACAGAACAGGCTATTCTGTAAATCTGGTACTTAGTTTAAAAAGCTAAAAACCAATACAGTCTATTCACCCCCCCCCCCCCCCTCTAGACTGTATCCAGTATAACCGGGACCAACAATTCTCACAGGTATCCCATTTTGTTGGGGAGTATAGGGCACATTTTTGTGCCTTCTAATCCCACAATCAACACAGAGTTGGTCCATATCCTTATTGCAAAACTCTAATCCATTATCGGTCCTAAGGGTTTTGACCTTCTTACCAGTTTGATTTTCTACAAGGTTCTTCCACTCCCTAAACTTCACAAAGACATCCGACTTATGCTCAAGGAGACGGACCCACACCTTCCTAGAAAAATTATCGATGATGGACAGAAAATATCTCTTACCCCCGTGGGTAGAGAGTAGAGACACTAACAGGACCCCACACATAAGCATGAACATACTCTAATACCGAGTTGCACTTAGTGGGATTAGGATAAGGGGAAGAGGGGAATGTAACCTTATGTTGCTTGCCTAACACACAAGATTCACAGAAAGGGATTGAGGACACAGAATCTTTACCAAAACAATCAGATTTATGCAAAATCTCTAAACCCTTATTACTCATGTGTCCTAATCTATTATGCCACAAAGCAGTTGTATCAGAACTAACAACATGAGAAGAATCACAGAAAGGCTGAGCCTGGCACACATACAAGTTATTCACCTTTTTTGCCTTAAACAAAACAAGGGAATGTTTCAAAACTTTCATGCACCCATTTCCCCACTTACCCTCAAGCCCACTACCCTCAAAAGCAACGACAGAAAACAAGTTATGACACAAATCAGGAACATGCCTCACATTTTTCATAGTAAACACAGTCCCATTATCAAACTTCAAACATACATCACCCACCCCATGTATTTTGCATTTCTTATTATCAACAAGAGACACAAAACCATCATTGCAAGAATCATAAGAAGCAAACAGAGATCTAAAAGGTGTCATATGATAAGTACAACTAGAGTCAATCAACCACTCATTTTCAATCATGCTACTCAACACAGAATTGGCAAAATCACAGACCATAAAACTTCATCATGAAAGTTATTATCATCTACCACATTAGCATGTTCAGACTTCTTAGGGTGAGGACAATCCTTAATGAAGTGGCTAGAATTCCCGAAGTTATAGCACACTCTCTTCTTAGACTTACCTCTCTTCTTACCCGGGTCATTATTATTAGGGGTGGGATTTTGGAACTGGAAACCATAGAACCGGTTGGAACCGAACTGTTAAAACCCGGTTCGGTTCCTACAAATATGGTATTAGTTGTTAATGGTTCGGTTCCTAGTTGTTATTAACGGTTCGGTTCCTAGTTCTTATAAAAAATATGTGCACGGAACCGTTAAGGAACCGTTATTAAAAAATAAAAATAAAAATAGTAGTGATAGTAATAACAATAATATCAACAATAACAATAATAGTACAATCAATGATATTTAGCCAACAATTCTAATTTAACCAACGAAAACAAAAGTAATCAATATTGCACAAGAGATTGAATGTGTTAAGCTCATTTTTACAAAATTAAGTTTTGTTAAATCACATATATTTTGTAAATATAAAATAACTCAAATAACTTGTAGTTGATTGCATATATTTTACTTCACTATCTTCATGATATTTGTAACTATTAGATTTATTGTAAATTATACTACTAGCAAATAGACTGCAATGATATATCTATAACTATAGATGCAAACTCAATATATTTTTTAAGTTTTGAAATACTTGGAGTGGACGTCATATCTTGCTACTGTGATGATGAACAATCTTCCTATCTTAACTAAGATTTTTATGTTCTACTCATTAAATGAAAATTGAAACTTTCTTTTATTCTATTAAGTGTTCACTTAATTAAGTTTGAGCTTTGATGTTTGAAGTTATTAGAACTTTAAATAAAATTTTAATACTTGTGTTTGATTTTCTTTTTAACATTTTAATGTGGTAGAAAGAAAATAATGTGCCCATTTATTAGATGAGGAAAAAATTATTCGAGGAACCGATAAAAGTAAGAACTGAACCGTTTAGTATTGGTTCGATTCCATAACGGTTCTTGATTTTTTACACAAGAACCGAACCGGTTTCATTAGTTAAAATCTTTGTAACGGTTCCACCAATTTTGAGTAAGAACCGAACCGGTCCCAGGCCTAATTATTATTGTTTTGGTTCTTAGTGTTGCTACCCTTCTTATGGTTTCTAGATCTACTCTTAGACCTAGCCCTCACAAGCAACGCTTCACCAGAGTCCCTAGATTGACTGTTACTACCCCTCGGCGACAGATATGCTGGAGTGCGGCGGCGGCGGAGACAGATATGCCGAAGTGGGGGTGGTGGCGAAGGTGGAGATGTTGGAGTGTGGTGATGGCGATGGAGATGCTAGAGTGCGACAGCAGAGACGGCGGCGGCGGAAACTGAGACGCCGATGTGCGGCGGCGGCTGAGACGCCGGAGTGCCGCGGAGGTGGCTGAGATGCTGATGTGCGAAGGCGGCGGCGGATGAGACGAAGATGTGTGGCGGTGGTGGATGAGATGTTGATGTGCTGCGGGAGGAGTGGAGTGTTGTTGCTGGGTCTTTAATTTGGGGGAAATTTAATAAATAGCTAAAGGGGTAAAAGAGGGAATGTAAAAATAAGTTTACTTAAATAGAACTAAATAAGTGGCACGTATGGAAGAAACTATTCTAGGTCCTCTTTATGTAAAATTGGTATGAATTGATCCTATACGGAGCAAGTTTGGAACAAGAGTACACCTAAATCAAAGTAATTGAGTACTCACTAAAAAGATATTTGTAATGGTACATTTTGAGTCTTAATTTATCCTAATTAGTACCCTCTTGTAGGCCTTATCATATGGTAATTCTTTTAGGGGATTTTTTAGTATTTGACATACTTCCATATTGGAAAATGTCTACTTCTTTATTTAGTTGTTTCACTTGTTCTTTTTTTGACATATTGTATTTATTTTTACACACTTCTTTCAAATTTTTAGTCTATTTCATATGTTTTCTACTTTAATTATTGATTCATATTGTACATTTTGATGAAATAATTGCATATGTATGACTAAGGATATTTTTACTTGGACTGAAATTTTCTAGTCTAATCTAATCCAACTTCATTACTCCTGAATGTCCTGTAGGCCTTAGCCTTATATTGTCCTCACTTAGGGATGGACCGAACTGGGCCAAACCGGCCCGTGAACCGGACCGGCCCGCTACTGTGCGGGCCCGGACCGGACCGGGACCGGATGGTCGGTTCCGGGCTTTTAGCCCGTGTGGGCGGGCCTGGCGGGCCGGGCTCGGGCCCTATTTTTGTTGAACCGGACCGGGCGGTTCAGGCCGAGCCCGGTTCATTTTTTTGGGTTTTTTCAATTTTTTCTTTACCTTGGATAGGGCTGGGTGTTTTGGGGATGTTTGAGGGGTGGGGGTGAGGGGAGGTCGGGGGTTAATTAGAAAGCAAAAAAATACATAGACCCGGGCCCGGCCTGGTTAGACCCGGACCCGGTATCAACCCGGCCGGTTCCGGGCCCAACAATTTGGAAAAAAGCCCGCCCGGGCTCGGCCCGAAACCGGAACCGGACCGGCCCGGGTCCATCCCTATCTTCACTTCTCACAAATCAACATGGGCCTTTTTAAAGGAGATGTGCCTCGTTAATATAGTAATTAAGTATTACTATTAATCCCTTTTAAACTAATTTGAAGTATCTGAAGTTTAATCTGATTTAATACTTGTCTAATCCGTGTATATTTTACTCCGTATAAGAGACCAACATATGACTATTTTACCCGCACGGATAGCTGAGTTGGTCGAGTGTTAGGAAAATTGAACCAAGTGACCAAGGTTCGAAACCCGCAACGACCGTGTGAATGACACAGAACCTGAAATAAGGTTGTACCTCTAGTAAGCACTTGTATTAAACTCCCCATCAGGTGTGAGTTGGGGCTCCTGTGATGGAGATTCATGTAATTGTTTAAGCCCACAACTCAAGTATTTTGAGAGAGAAGGGAGACATCAGGTAAGGGAAAAGAGTGGAACAGAGTGTTGAAATCTGTAGACTACTGGGACAAACAGGGGTCTGAAGTTGGGTTTTGAAAAGTAAATGGGGGATGACAAATCGGGGATGGTGGGTATGATGGGGAACACCAGTAGAGAAAGAGATCTGGAGCTTCTCATTCCTGTGGCTTCCTCCGCCGCCGTTGACGACCATGAATCCAAGCCTTCGTCCTCCGCCGCTTCTGCTCACCATGCCCACACTGGCCGTGAGGTAGAGCACATAATCTGTTTGTAAAATTGCTCTCTTTTTGGTAATAAATATTAAAATTTTATTCGAGTGCAAAATTGACCAAAAAGAGCGCCTCCCCTTCCCCTTTTATCCTTGCATGTGCAGCTTGTTTGGTAATTTTGTTTGTTTTGATGAGTTGTTTTTCCCCAGATACTGGGGGTAGGGATAGGACTTTGGTCGTATCTTACTTGCTGGGAGATTGAACTGTAAATTCTGATGATTCCAACAGGAAATTTTTAATTTTGTTTAGAACTTCGATCTATTGTGTACGGTGCTGTCTGTTATCATATCAGTGCTGAACAAGCGATTTATATTTGTTCATTTGGTTGATGGTTTTGTCTTCTAGTGTTCATTTCTAGATTTTCTGCAGTTGATCCATTGTAAGAATTTAGAAATGAAACATCTTGATGATTCCAAACAGGTGTAACGCAAAATTCCTTTTATGCTGTTTTGTTTAGTTTGAATTATAGTTTGCAAATACATGCTTCTGAGGGCTAATTTCTGTACACTATATTTCTTCTCTTAAGGGTTCATGTTTTAGTTTTAACAACTCCCTGCTCTTGTATTAAAGTAGTTTAAGGTCTCACTTGAGTTGTACAAAATGTTATCCATGCAGACATTCTACAAAGTTGTTAGGAGCTGGGCTTCAAAGAAATTCATGACCGGATGGTGAGAATATTAGTTTATCTATAGATTAATGCAAATGTTTGACCTTTCTTTTTTATTATGTTTGACACTTCACAGTATATAGCAGCATGTCTTTCCTAATCGGGATAATTAAAATCTGCATATAGCAATATTTCCTTGTACTTCGTGGTTGTCCGGAAGAGGGAAAAAACTAACTGATATACTGTATGATACCTACCAAGTCTGGGTGCCACTATTTGCTATTTCCTAAATTTGTAGCAATGGCACTAAACTTAGTCATACAAAGAAGCAAACATGACGCATGAACTAAATTGCCTCTTTATTTTTCTCTTAAAGGGTTGCGTCCATTTACTATTTGATTTTTATGTTAGAAAATAGCTGGCAACTATAACTGATACTTCTTTTAGATATAAAAAAGTCGTAGTTGTACGTCTAATGTCATGTCATTCGTTAATACTACAAAATTCCTTTTTTGTTTACACATGTTTCTCACATCCTCTGCAAATCTGTCTACGGCCTCTGCTAATTGTCACTGATCATCATTTGCAGTGTTATCCTATTTCCGATAGCAGTCACCTTTTATATAACATGGTGGTTCATTCACTTTGTGGACGGATTTTTCTCTCCTATATATGTGCAGCTTGGCATCAATATTTTTGGTAAGCATACTTTTCCACCAAGTGACCTAGAGATTATCTGTTCTCGTAAAGGAAACTCATAGTTCTCGTTTCTATTGGTTTCTAATTAATTTAATTCATTTATTTCCGAGAATGTGGTGTAATGGCCACACTTGGATTTGGAAATTATGGAATTCCCGGATTTCACAATTATCAAAATTGGGGGCATCCACAGGCCCTCTAATTCACTCTGGATTTTGAGAAATTCCCGGGAACGGGGTAAAATGCTAAAAATTGACAATTGATTCTTTCTACCTACCTGTAATTTAATTTCGATCACCAAATTCATAAAAACTAGTCTTTAATATATCTAGAATGCAACTAATGCTATGCAAGAAAAGAAATAATACACTGGAAAGTTCAGACAATATGTTTGGTTAATGAGTCATCCATCATTCTATTAAGTAAACTCCTTTTCCTTTCTTTTAATTTTTTCTTGTTTGATGCTAGTATGGGCATACTTGTTTACATGTGTATATCTTGAACAGGTCTGGGATTTGTTACTTCAATCACTTTCATTTTCTTGGTTGGAGTGTTCATGTCATCCTGGTTAGGGGCATCTGTTTTAAGTCTTGGAGAATGGTTCATCAAAAGAATGCCATTTGTTCGTCATATCTATAATGCATCAAAGCAAATTAGTTCTGCCATATCTCCAGGTTTATTGATTGATTTTTTGGGCAATCCCTCCACTACTCACTGTTACTCATTGTGGTCCTTGACTATGAAACTTTGATCCAATCTAGCCCTCATGTATACCTTGTTCTAATTAATTAGAAGGGCAAGTTTGTCTGTTCACTGGATTTTGACCCAACTAGATTCTCACCCGTGCGATGCATGGAAGAAAGTATAATCAAATCATGTAAAGTTTTTAAATAACATCCTAGATTGATAAATTAGAATCCAGGCTATCAAAATCCGAATAGGACCACATATGATGGGTCTTATTCCAACTTGTAATTTGCATAATCCGAAATTATACGAATAATTTTTAATTTTAGAAAAAATCTGATCCAGACTCGTATCGAGTCATATCCTAGTTAAAGAAAGAGCATAAAGAAGTTTATGTAAGTATTAAGAGCATGTTTGGTAATACTAAAATATACTAAATCGGTTGATTCTGCTGAAATTTATGAAGTTCTAGCTGAAGTAGCTGAATTGTCCGATTTTGCTAATTAAAAAAAATAAAATATACTTCCTCCGTTCTTTAATAGTTGCAATAGTTTGACTTTCACGTTTGCCGATGCACAACTTTGACTTTAATTATATCTAATTACGTATTAGTAAAAATTATAAAAAGTTAATAATTTGAAAATTCACATCAATAGAAATTTAATGACATTTTATACATAATAATTTGATTTTATATATTAATTAATAGAAAATCGTGGTCAAAGTAAGGTGTGTGAATAGTGCAAATATCCTAATGTTGCAACTTTTAAGAAACGGAGGAAGTATTTTATTAGTAAAATAAATAAAAAATCATATAAAAAAAGCTAAAATGGTCTTCTACAGCAATTTCAACCAATACATCCAGAAAAGTAACTCCAACCTTGTCTTTATCTTATTATTATACTCCCTCCGTCTCTTAAAGGTTTGCCAAGTTTGACTGGCACGTATAATAATAAAGTAAAAACTGTGTTGTAGATATTTGTGCCAAAGTTTTTGGGACAACCAAAAAAGGAAAGTTTGCAAAGTTATAAGGGACGGAGGGAGTACAATTCAGCGTGTGAAATTAAAAGTTACGTGTTTGGTGAAAAACTGTGTGATAAGCCAAAAAACAGGGTCACTAAACGAGCTCTAAATTGTTTGTGAGGATTCTGGTAAATTGTCCCCGTCATTTACCCCACCGATGGGTAGTTTACTTGCCGGGTTCTATAAAATTAAATTGTTTGTGGGGGTTTTACTTGGAGAATGGTTCATCAAAAGAATGCCATTTGTTCGTCATATCTATAATGCATCAAAGCAAATTAGTTTCTGCCATATCTCCAGGTTTATTGATTGAATTTTTGGGCAATCCCTCCACTACTCACTGAGTCACTGTTACTCATTGTGGTCCTTGACTACGAAACTTTGATCCAATCTAGCCCTCATGTATATTTTGTTCTAATTAATTAGAGGGGCAAGTTTGTCTGTTCACTGGATTTTGACCCAGTTTTGACTCAATTTAGCCTCAAATGTGTCATTTTTTACCCAATTTGTCCTTGGTGTCTAAAAAAACCCTTCTTAAGTAGAGTAAAATATGCATGAGGGCTAAAGATAGTCAAGGACAAATCATAGTAACATATGTAACATTATGAAATATTAGTAACAAATCTTATTGTTGCTTTTCCTTTTTCTCATATATATATAATGGATAGCCGAGGGACTGATTTGGGTAATAAGTCTTGATTTTTTTCATAAAATAGCTTTCTATGTTGTGAATTAGTAGTTCCCTATTATCTATTTGTTATTCCAGATCAGAACACTCAGGCTTTTAAGGAGGTGGCCATCATAAGGCATCCACGTATCGGTGAATATGCATTTGGGTTCATTACTTCATCTGTGGTTCTTCAGGTTTGCAAATGCTTTATTGCATCTTCTCCGAATTTAGTCAGTTATTTTTTTCAAAATTAGTTAATTGCTACTGGGGTATAGACGTATAGTAAATGCATGCAAAACTTGTAGAAAAATGAATAATGGGATAAAAAATCCAAAACCATCATTACCTTTTCTCTTTCACATGATAGAAAATATTATGAGTCTGGAATTTCTTGGAATTCAAACATTGTTATAATCATGTCCTATCTAAGGGTGGAAATGATTCTGGTTCGGGAAACCGAAACGGGTACTGGAACCCATGGTGTCAGAACCGCAACCTAAACCACAAATAGGGTTTAGGGGTACTTGAATTGCCGGTTCTTGTTCTAGTTTTTTCAAGCATTAAACAATATAGGTTTTTCCAAAATGTGTAACTTTTAGAGTCTATAATAATTGTGTTCAAAGTTACATCATAGTAACTACATCAAAGTAACTTTGAACACAATTATAGTCACTAAAGTTATCAAGTCACATTTTTGTCCATCACTTTTCCATGAGTAATATTAATGGAATTTTATCTCAAAAAAATAATTTAAAAAGTATGGTACCGGAACCGGCAGATCACAACACTGGTTACAGTTCTTCCATTCCGGGAATGGCCTGTTCTAGATCAGACCCAAGACAAGGTTGATATTGTAAAGGCAAGCATGAACATCGTGGAACATTACGTACTGATGCCACATTCATTTACATAAAACAGTTATTCCTAACCAATCTATATTTAGGTTGAATTGAATATGAGTCATATGACAAATATTTGCTCAATTACTGTTTCTTCAAATCAGAACTATTCAGAAGATGAAGATTTGTGCTGTGTGTATGTTCCAACAAATCACCTATATATTGGTGATATATTTCTCGTCAATGCAAAAGATGTCATAAGACCAAACTTATCAGTTCGTGAAGGAATTGGTAAGGAAACTCTTTTGTCCTTTTTAAGTATTTTCTACATAGGAACTGCAGAGCTGTTCAAATCAGGGATCTACCTCACAGCAAAGTGGTTGGGTAGATGAAGTATGCCTGATTCGAGCAGGTTGGTCATGATGTTCTCTACATACCATGACCTGGATGGAGGGTTTCAAGGAAAAAAATGTTAAATAAAATGCTAAAAAAATGAAGGTTATTACATCAATGATTTGCCTATTCTGTTAATTCTATAAAATCTTTACAAAATCTAAAATCTCACCTTTCAAAATCCCTCCAAATGGCTCAGTTCAAATCTATCCCAAGGGTCTGTTTTATATATCTTAATAAATAGAATGTTTCTAAAAATGTGATATAAATGTTATACTATTACTATCAGAATTATGTTAATCTCTCAACTTTTATAAACAAAGCTCTCCAAAGTTTTACCTTTCAACTATCCTCCATCTAAGCAGACCCTGTGGAACATAAGTTGGTCAATGGATGGATTTGGATGCGCAATAATTTGGACAGCATTTTAATAGTACAGCTGACTGGCAAAGAGTCATCATTTTGGCATAAATGTAATGTGCCCCCTGTATTGCAGAGATTGTTGTATCAGGTGGTATGTCAATGCCGCAGATTCTATCAACTTTGGATCCAACAATTGTTCAAAGTTGATAGTGTGAATTCCTGACAAACAGAAATAGAAGATGGTGATGGTGATGATAAGCGGAGATGGTCTTAAAGTTCCATCCCAACTTTCCAGTGCTACACGGAGTGGATTGCAGTCCTTTGTGCTTTATCAATTGGATTGAGTTTCTCTTTTTTGTTTTTGTTTTAAATCATTAGATTCGGGTCGCTTTTGTAGTTTTGTAACAACAAAAAAACTAGTGTATAATGTAGAGAAGTTGGGTCTTGCATTTTTAATTTCAGTAGGTCAGTTAAAAATTTTAGATCTTGCTCGGCTCTTAAGTTGGAAGCTCCTCTTAGTTATTGATGCCGTGTAAACAAAAGGGCGGGAGTAGTATCAAGCAATTCATTTGTAATGTGCTGTGTTGTACAGTTTTGGGGTCCTATTCAATGGTATTTGGTCGAAGCAAGAAATCTGCAACACAATTGAAGTTACAATTAAAGTTATTAAACACTGGAGGTCTGGAGGAGATGAGAGGAGCCTCACATAGCTTCATAAGAATAATGTGAAGCATAATGTGTTATGAACATGTAGGGAGTGTGAAATGACGTGTTAATTGCTGCACATATTCTAAGTTCTGACCCACTCCATACAGATGATGCCTTGTGTTCTGATTTGTTTAAACCACAATCCAAGTAATCTAAGTAATCCAAAGTAAATTGCCACAAGGTGAGCTAAAACAGATGCACTTCAAAAAACATTAGAACTCAATATACAATTCTCATAGTCAAATATGAACAGTAGATTTAGGCAGAGTATCACTCAACCAGCACTTTAAATGAACAAGAATTTGCGCAACAGGTGGTGGAATTAAAAGTTTTGATTAAAAATACATCACAAAAAATTTGCAAGGTCTGCTAACAAGTAACAACGGCTTCAATGCTTCTGCACTAAGCATCAAAGATACTTGAAATGATTCAGATTAGTCCAATCATCAACAGCGCGAACGCTCCCACCTACAAATCAGGTGTAGCAAAAACCAAAGTGCAAGTTAATTCCAAGTATTGTGACAACAATACAACTCCAAACACAAAGCAAAAATTTAAAAAGTGAAAACACAAAACAACAGTAAAATATGAGATTGCCCATTCTACTGGTCCGATCTGATAGAAGGACCTTAATAGAGAACCTAGATTAAGCAAGCCCCAATTCACGGGCATCATCACATTCCACAATACTCTTTATACAATAGTAACAGGAACGGTAACCAGCGTTAAACATGCCATTCGTATGGAAAATATAAAATCTAATGAATGGTTTCAAAACGACAGTAAAAGACTAATACGAAGTTAAAATGATAAGAATAAATCAGTAGATTATAATACATGATACGGCATTCATTTATGGCTTCCAAATTGTAAAATTTGCAAATGCCAATTAAATATCAGATACTTCCAAAAAATCAGAGAACGTATCCATCTATGAGATTCAATTCCAAAAAATACTACACTGATTATGTTTAACATGATCTGTAAACAATTAAAAAAATCATTAACATTTCTTCATTACACAACCTTGCAATCCACAGGAACGGATGCGACACTTTGATTCAGACTAGTAACAATTAGAGGATGACAAGAATGAGGTAAGGTTGAGGAACACGTCTTATGTGATTACCCAGGGCCCAACCTTTCACAAGAAATTTCTCTGATTTAGCTAGTCCAAAGTTAATCTGAATTACGCTTTACAGCAATGAGTGAAGCAGGGAGATTAGTCTTCGGTAAAAGTGGATTTCGAGAGGACAAAACATCGTCAGATATCTTTCTTTTGAAACATTATTGAAGAAAGATGGGATGCTTACTTTCTAACAAGATAACGACTGCCTGAATTGATAAAAAAACAAAACATGAAGAAACTACCTTGAAAACATTGATAGCATTTAAAAGTCTCAAAAGTGCCTCAGAATTGCAGAATGACAGCAAGGCCTTATGGGCCATTCAGTCCCGAAAGATGGTGTAATTTAAAAGTGATTTCCTCATAGGCGATTATAAAGCTGAAATGGAAATCCAAAACTGCAAATTCGGTAAACGATACTTATAATGTGCTTCTCATGGCCAATCCCAAGAGGTAATGGCAGAGACTCCGCTCCTCAAGGCGATAGGATATGAGACTGCCCAATCTTCTGGTCCCTCCCGAGAGAAAGATCTATGAAGAGGGCTTTATTTGTGATGAAATTTTAAACCCCTGGATTATGCAAGCATTGATTAAGCATGCCCCAATTCATAGGTATCATCACATCAAACTTATTCCTAAGACAATACGGACAGGAAAAATATCTACACTTAAAAGACATCAGTTCTCCAAGGTGATTAAGTCATCAAAGCGTAATCAGGCGCAAATTACCCGTTAATCATGAGATTCGTCATTTGCCGTTTTTTCTACATATTTCTACAAAAGGTGCTCAGAACTTCTTAGAGGGTTTGTGATACCATCATCAACATAAATGCCTCCAGCACAAAAAATATGTTCTTCACGGCACATAGATAACTCAAAACGAAAAAATACCACATACCATTAAAAGAAACGTCTAAGGAACTCAATTTATGGGTGGTGATATAACAGGATTGTCGTCAGGGTGTTTAAGAACCATTAGGACGAACGAGACCAAAATGAAATGCTCATCATCGTCCCTCAGAAAATAGTAAAATCACCAACATAAAAGAGAATCAATTGCAACTTAGAGAGCCTCAGTATGAAATACAGCGCAATGAGATTTAAATCATGCAATATCATAATTACCCATTGTAAAATCATCGGCGTCTTAAGCTATGCCCAAATCAGTGTCCTAGGTTTCGTTAAAACCGTTAGAAATTGGCAGAAGATCAGACACTTATAGAGGTTGAAATAACTTATGCGATCGATGGCCTCATAGAGAAGATTAGGTTAATCAACACAGATAATTCAGCCATATGCTTGTCTATAATGTATATTTAATCATCGGCCATGAATCGCATGAAAAATAAAAGAACTACAAATAGCGTTAAACAAAAAACAACTAGTAGAGATGAGTGAAATTAGGAAGAGAAGATGCATATCACCAGAAAGGAGGGTGATACTTATAGCGAAAGAGGTAGAACGATGGGAACTAGGGTTTTGGCGACCTTCGCCGTTCGGAGCACAATCTTTAACTTCCATTTTGGGGTTTTGGATTGGGCCTTGATTGAATACACAAGATTTGCATAGGAGTTTTTAGATCTATATAGTGGAATAAAGTCGAATAATGACTAGATTATATTTGGCGGAAATTAGGCCTGGGACCGGTTCGGTTCTTACTCAAAAATAGTGAAACCGTTATTTAAATTTTAACAAACGAAATCTGTTCGGTTCCTATATAAAAAATCAAGAACCGATATGGAACCGAACCAATACTAAACGGTTCGGTTCTTGCTTTTATCGGTTCCTAGAATATATTTTTTTCGTGTAAGAATTAACACATAGTTTAGCTTCTACCACATGAAAACGTCAAAAAGTCAAAACAAGTCATAAACATTTATTTAGAGTTCTAATCACTCCAAACATCAAACTTGGACTTAAGTGAACACTTAATAGAATAAAAAGAAGATTTTAATTTTCATTTAATACATAAAATATAAAAATCGTTCGTTATGTCGTTGAAATGAAGGTTGCTCGTCATTATAGTGGCAAGGATATGACGTACACTTTATGCCTCTCAAAACCTAGAAATACATTGAGTTTGCATGTACATCCTTTTGATGGAACAAAACTTGATTTGTAAAAATGAGCTTAATGTATTCAACCTAATGTGCAAATATTTACTATTTTTGTTTTTATAGATTAAACTAAATTAAAAATATTGGCTAAATATCATTTATTAATTATTATTGTTGTTGTTTTTTTTTGTTATATTAGTATTACTACTAATACTACTACTACTTTTTATTTTTATTTTTATATTTTTAATATCGGTTCCTTAACGGTTCCGTGCATATATTTTTTATAGGAACCAAGAACCGAACCGTTAACAACAACTAAGAACCGAACCGTTAACAACTAATATCTCATTTGTAGGAACCGAACCGAACCGGGTTATAACGGTTCGGTTCCAACCGATTTAACGGTTCCCGGTTCCAAAATCCCACCCCTAGCGGAAATAAGTATTTACCTTGTATTATTTAAAAAATCTTTAAAAGTTTCTAGTTACATGTTTGGGATGACAATTTTTAAGAGCGTTTCAAAACTTAAAAGATCTTTTTTGAGATACTACTTCCGGCTACAGGGAGTAGCATCTGAAAAAAGTCTGTGACTTTTAGTATTAATTAGTCATAAGGCTAACCGCAACTCAACCCGTCAATAAATCTAATTTCCCACCAATTTATACGTATTCATCCAGTAAATTCAGTTTTTCCCTGCAACCCACCATCGTCAATATAATCACCCAGCACATTTTTTAATAAATGCATAAGTCCTTATGTTTTCTCATTACACAACATTTATGTGACAATTTTATTACTACCATTAACTATGATCTAAAAAGTCAAACATTCCGATGTAAAAATAAATAAATTTGGAGTTTAATTTTTTTTGGTTTCTCCAAATCTATTTTTTAAAAAAGTAACAAAATAATGTAGTAAAAAAAATTTTAACCATGATTTTAACACCCTGATTTATTTAATAAAATATTTGAACATAAATTCTCAAATTGAGAAAACTTTGTTTTTTAAAAAATAAATAAATATATATATTGTTAGATATATTATCCCGGTCTGTTACTGTTCAGAGGCCCAAGACATCGCCCCAGTACGGAGCCCAGTCGACGAGACCCATTTAGGATCTCCGGGCCCATTGAGAGCCATTTTTAGGCTCGCTTGGTCTGCCCGGCCCATATCGGCCCGTTTAGGCCCGCTCGGCTTGCCCGACCCGTTAAGGCCCGTCTGGCCCATTAGGCTAGAAAGCCCCCACCCCCCTTCTACAAACAGGAAGCCTAGCTTCCATATTACGGATCCAATTTTAACTGGCTCTCCTCCCTAGCTGCTTCTTATTTTAGCTTAGTTATTCAACCTCCATGAACAGAGCTTCAACATTTGTACATGTATTTTGGTGAGGAGAGTTAATGAGAAAGAGCGGGCTTGGACGTTAGCCTAAAAAGTCCCGTGGTTTTCTCCCTTTCCGGGTTTCCACGTAAATATCGAGTGTTATACCAAATTATATCTATATTCTATTAGTTTATGTTGGACTAAAACTCAACATATATGTATGTATGTATGTATGTATATGTATATATATATATATATATATATATATATATATATATATATATATATATATATATATATATATATAATATTGATGTCATATGAAAGAGCATAAAAAATCATGATTTTTGATATACTTTTTATAAAATTTGGATTATATATAAACAAAAAAGTTAAATCATTTTAAAGCATTTTGGGGGGTTTGTTTTAATTGGGCCCCAACATCACCCATTCTTGTGCTCTTGCGGTGAATCAAAGTTTCTCCTCTCCCTACTCGGGTTGAATCAAGGTCTTAGCATGCCACCCCATGGGTTTTCCTAAATCACTCTAAGACCCTTCAATACAAAAATGTAGGATTTTGGTTTGCTTCGGCTTGTGTGATAGTAGTAGTCCCTATTCCACTTTTATAGTATTTGTCCTTTCTTGGGTAGTTGGTAAAAACTTATCTCGGCTATCTGAATTTCTTACTACTCAGATGACTTGGAATCCCTTTTAGAGGGTGTGCACACTTAAGGTAGAGGTTCAATTTCCAATTGGTGGTTTGGGTGAGGTCCGGGTTAACGGGTGATTCATAGGTTGCCTCGGTGACTTATGTAATCCGCCCAGAACACTTGGTGATTCAAGTCCAAAGGCCCAACACGTTCCTTTGGCTATCGTTGGAATGTATGGATTAGGGTGTGCAAAGTGTGAACAATGGTCAACGGAAGAAGTCAAATGACCAACTATATTATTTATTAATTTTTCGGGGTTAGGTGGAACTTACTTAGCATTGTTGCTAATGTTTGTTTCTTTTATTTTATTTTTCTTTCTGTACTTGATTTTGTACAGGTGTTGAGTTGATCCGGTTGAAGTTGATTTCGAGAGAGCTTCCGCTAGAACATCAAATTAGTAAATAGTTGTAATTATATTTTCAGCATCTTAAATTAGTGAACATTTATTTTAAAAGTTTAATTTATTTTTAGTTTAAGTTGTTTTAGCCTGTGCACTCGGTTAAGGGAGAATCGAGTGTGGCGGTAACGCCCCTATTTCCCTTTGGAATTTCCGCTGCACAATTCTGATGTTTTCAAATAAAGTTAATAAACAACGTTTTATTTAAACGTATTTTGGATGGGAAATTTGGGGGTGTTACACCTGTTATGCTGGCGAGTCAGCTCTTCGGTCTGTCTTTGAAGATCCGCCATAGTGGGGACCTCTGTATTCCCGACCAACATAGGAGCAACGATCTGCAAGGCATTTTCCTCGGTCGGGTGATTCGCATGGAATTAGCCCACCCGGCCCACAACCAGTCTCTTCATTTAAAACCAACCGGTTTCCCCCATGTTTCCCATGGAAACGGTGCCTTCCAGTATGGACGTTCGGGGTGATTGGCCGCGCCTGGTGGTTGGTGCGAGGCATTACCGAGGTTTGTTCCCCCATTGTGTCCCTCTTCGCTCGGGAGATGGAGGCTTCGAGCCTTCTTCCGTGATTGTCCGAGTGGCCCTGCCCTCGAGACCTTGTTCGTTATGGGTCCGCCCAAACGGGAGTACACTGAGGCTCGGGAGGCCCTAGATTCACCTTCTGTTTCATCAAGCGGCTATATCTGTCGGATTGGTGATGGCGGCGTGTGCTCTGCCTGGGCAGTATACGAAATGATTAGCGTATTCTTGGTCGTCCATGGCCCACATGGTGTCCGCCAACTCCATCATGAGGCGGGGATCATTGCAGACCGCATTAGGGATGAGGTGGGTGAGATTGCCCCTTCCGTTCGAGTCCTCCCACCTGCTGTTGGCCTGATTCTCCGAGTTGAGGGTGTGGGATCCTCTGCTGTCTTGTTGGTTGTGGTTATGTCTTCTTGCCATTACGAGGTTTTCTAGGAAACAAAAACGTAGGTCTTAGCGCGAGGGCTTGCTCGGGATTTTTAGTCCAGTTTCCGACAGACGACGTCAATGTTGAGGTTTATTTCTCCAAATTCAAAGGCCCAACACGCTCCCTTGCCTATCGTTGGAATGTAGTGTGCAAAGTGTGAACAATGGTCAACGGAAGAAGTCAAACAACCAAATATATTGAGCTAAATATGTTGATTACTCAAAAAGAGCCGAACGACATTACAGTAGTAGAAGGCTCATACAAGAGCTGGAATACAATATATTGTCGTGAGTACAAATTTGCTAACCTCTTACAATGAAATAAATGTTGGTAAATGTATACTATGGATGAATAGTTGGGGGGGGGGGGGGGGGGGGGTGGTGTGGCCGATTCTGAATGGATGATCCCCAACCATAAAATCCCACATACCTCTTGCATTAAATGCGCTTCCCGCCAGAAATGAGGCTTCGTGCCAATTCTCATGGGTTGATCCTCCATGTGTGGCTTCCTGCCAGAAATGAGGCTTCCGCTCGGCAATGACCGTTCGGTACACACCATTCGACATTCCCCGTGCGTGCTTCCTATCCATTGGATTCTGCTAAAATCTGACCTCTTAGGGATATTTTGGGCCTATATTTGGACCGGGCCCTAATATCCCAACACAATGTATGCTTTTACTAATATTATTAATGAAAGTACTTATATAATATTTCATTTTTTAAATAAGCATCATATTCATATTCAATATCCATCTAATTTAATATACATTTTATATTATTAAAAATTGTATATTTTAAAATAATAATTCTATTTCTATGTTGACCGGGTTGACCCACCGTGTCCAGGCTGACCCATGAGTCCGTGACCTATTGACCTGGTTATTCTATTTCTCTCATATGGAGAAATGGACTACTTAAAAGTCAAATTTATTACTTAAAGGTATTTGCGAGTAATGCATATTATTTTGGAGCTATAAATACTAAAGAAATATTTTACTATTATGCTAAATTAGATTATTTTGAAACAAGAATTAAAATAGGTTTTGATGAAATCTCACAAAGATTTTGATTACAAATGTTTTACTAAGTTTTAAATATATGTTTGAAGGTTATTAAACATATGTACTCGCTCCGTCCCTTAAAACTTTGCCAACATTCTTTTTTTGGATGTCCCACTAACTTTGCCATTTTCTCTTTCAAATAAAAAATTTATGGTTCCAGTTAATTCTCTCCTCTGCACAAACCTCAACCACACAGTTTTTACTTTATTAATCCCCGTGCCGGTCATACTTGGCAAAGTTTTAAAGGACGGAGGGAGTATTATTTAAAGCTTACAAAAGCCATTTTTAAAATCTAAAGGTTATTCTGTGAATATTATTTTAAAATATCAAAACTACTATTTTTGGGAGTATGTGGATTTTCGAGATTATATTATGTATAAAAACCTAGGAACAAAACCTAAGAAGCAAATCATTGTTTCCCATTACGTAGGAACAAAACTTTGGTGGATCATCAAGGAGTGGAAGCACGAATGATATTTTATGAATTTGAATGTTTCTGGTGTGTGTTCAGGTTTCTGGAATTTGTACAAAACTACAAAAGGTGATGATTTGTAACCTGCATTATGACTAAATATTGCTAAAACACAGTGGCGGCAGCACAAAAGCTTTAAACTTCGTATCACATCATAATCAATCTAGTTAGCAATAATCTAGGTGCCAGGATACTTGGTGGTGGTGGTAGAGAGGATGATAAAAGCGCAGAGGACAGAAAGAGAAAAGAGAGAAATCCAAGTATCCTCAGAGTACATCATCTCCATGGCATCTCGGAATGGCAATCGCGCACCGCTCTCCGCCCAGTTTCGGACTCTATCTGCCTCCGCAGCATACACTGCTCTTCCCTGCCAACCACAACACATCATCATCATCATCATCATTCTCTATACTATCATTTCAACAATCTAGTTTACCACGTTAGTGTGAACTCGTTGGGAAATAAATCTGAAGGCTCGACTTAAACTCCAATCAAATTAAATTTATTTCAGATATTTCTTCAAACTCCGTTTTTTTCTATAGTACAATGAAGAAATCAAAATAATACGGGGTATAATATTCAAAAGAAATGATTTATATTTCATTTTTTGCATTTCCCAAGGCAGAGATCCAAGCATAAGGAATAGAATTATTATTTCATTTTTTTGCATCTCCACCCCAGGTAAAGGTTCCGTCCACTGTTCTACATAAATGGTTCATAATCTTTTACTTTATACATTCGGTTTTTACCAATTTTAAGTTTTCTTTTGCAACTTTGTAAAACTTTTAATCTAATTACTGAATATGTAAATTTTATTTACTAAAAATAATCTTATTATTGAGAGAGATCAATTCACTTTATAACCGGTCAACCATCATATACCAAAGGAGAACCTTTACCCGGGATAGAGCGAGTATACTTCCTAGACATCTCTTTCCTTTTCTTAAAACTTTCCGTAATCCAAACAAACCCTTAACATATGAGGAGAATTATGGATGTTTTCTTTTAGACTGAAATTTGTTGGTCTGATCTGGTCTGGTCTCATAAATGTCTGGTCTCTGTGTATTTTATAACTATGGAAGTCTGATCTAGTCTGTTTAAGTTTGATCTGGAACTGAAAACAGTCCAAAAGAAAACATCATATGTAGAGTATGAAATTGGCAATTGTTTAACAATACTTCAGTTGGGGGGATAATCAATCTTCCCAATGAATGGTCCAAGTACATTTACACATGTCCTAGATTGAAGTACTTCTATACTAGAACCGTCGCGGCCGCCACCACTAGTACTAGTACTACCACTACCAACACCGCCGCCGTCACCACCACCATTGCCGCCGCCACCACCACCGCTATGTTTTAGGATTGATCTATGATGGGCCATCAAAAATTTTGGGACTCGTATGAATGGATGTACTCTATTCATCCATAATATCATCAATCTTTTGGAGAAATAGCTTGCCTAGGTCGGGAAGCTGAGTTATTTTTCGATTCACCATAGCTTTTCTGTTCTCTTCTCATCTCCTAACCATGCCCATAACAGAAGAATGATAATAATATTTTACATTCTAGTTATTCAAAGCAACCCAAACAGTGAAATTGGGAGGTATGAGGAAGGTATGATGAGGATCACCTGGTCATCAAACCAACGACCTCGCCTTAGCCATGCACTAACCAAAGCAATCAATATCTTTGGCGGGGTCAAGTAGTTTATAGCCTTCCCATTTCCTTTTACAGTCCGCATCCGCGGCACCAGATTTCGAGCAACAGTCTCCGGGAGCTCACATACGATGTTGAATACCTGCTTGTTTTTAACACTTGATCCACTACCAAACCCATTCTCAAAAGTTAGCTGTAGAACTTAAAAACATTTTCTTCTCTATATAAAATAAAATTGAACTACGCGAGATAATAAGTTTCATTACCTGATAATACAACATTTATTTATATTATAGGTCTCTCACAGAAGAATGGTGTGTACCTCAAAAGCAAGTCGGTCAGAACCATCCCAGGGGAGGCAGTATGCACTCCAATGTTTGATTGCTTGCACTCCTTGAACAGTGATGATTGAAGCTGCCTCAGACCACATTTTGTTGACCCATACCTGAGTGAGTAGAAGAAAGTAACATCTATTAAACTAAAATATTTAACAGAAAAATTCTGAATGGTGGTGGTTGACAAGCCATCAACAGCACTTACACAGCAGTCAGAGGAGTGCTAGACCCTCCAGAACCAGCACCGTCCATATTGAATATGTGACCCACTTTACTCTGAGATCCTATGATCCGCATCGCTTCTCGAGTGCAAAGAATAGATCCTATAAGGTTTGTTGACACTATCTACACCTCATGGCCGCATTTAAAAAAGAAGAAGCAATTTATGAAGTGTTATGGCAGTCGTATCTAATGCACCATTCATAAAGGAACACTAACAACAGTAAGCCATCACGCGAAGATCCAAAAGATTAGATTTATCGTTGCATACTTCTTGAATGTCGCTGTCAGTGAAATCCAGTAAAGGCCTGAACCCTTTGTTTGTCCCGGCATTGTTTACCTGGGTAAATATTGGAACCAGTTTGAAAAAAACAAATGAATAAAAAACTACTTTTCTTCATGGCAGTCTCTTTACATGTTTGTACTTCGTACGTATTGTAACCCCAGAAAATGACTTACCCAAATGTCAATGGTACCAAGCTCATCAACTGCAAACCTTCCCAGTTTCCTAACATCTTCAGGTTGAGAGACATCACATGCAATTCCCAGCACTTTTGCATGTGCCCACTTTTTCTTATATAAGCCTGCTGTAGTTCTCACGATTTGATTTAGGTCATCTTCGAGCTCTTTGATAGTCATATCTACTGATTCTGGGCTGCCTTAGATAAAGCCCAAGTTAGCACAAGACACATAAGAGTACGCAAATAACCAACACAATTTCATTACATTCTTAATTAATTGACCTGCGAGAGGTAATAACAACACGGTCTCCAGAAAGTAAGAACTCCCGAGCCAGAGCTTTCCCTAATCCCCGTGTACTGCAACAAAAAGGACAATTAGCAATACTGACTGAATATGAATTGGCCAAATACCCAAAAATGATCCTAACTATGACCCCCCCGAACCTGAACTGTCCAAGTGTCCCATTTAGTCACTCAAGTAACTCAATAGTGACCCTAAACTTTTAAAAAGATTTGAATCACTTCATAGATGTCGTGTATGCAGAAGCTACAAATACTGTCACCATTAGATACTAGGGCCGTAAGGCAAATGGATGCATGAAAAAAGTTGTAAGAAATGATAAAACCTGCTGCAACAAAAAGAAAGAACACATTATGCTCACTCTGTCACTATTTCTTTTGCCGACTTTACATTTCTGGCCGTAGTGAAAAGGTTTGCCACCCTTTAAGGAAACGGATTAGAGGTTTATATTATTTGTTTCTCTTTTGCAGAAATTTCAGCCCCAAAATTTATACTTCCTTACCCCTCGTGTCTCAAACTTGACAAAAGATTGAGAGACAGAAAAAGTACATTCAAATTTTTTATACAATTTGGGCTGATATTTATGGATTGATAATGTGCTATTCTATCATTGAAACTGTTGCTATAGTTGGTTAAACATCGATCACCCACCTAATCACATTAGTGATTAAAGCCTTTGTAGACACGAAATGTCAAAAAACCAGGCATGAATGCTTTGATAGTTGAGTGACATTTTTAGAGAGTTTAGTTTAGTTCAATGCTTTAGTGTCAATCGAGTTTTAAATGTTTGACAACATTTTTGGGTATTTCGTGATGCATGCTACGGTAGAATGTTATGGAAAGTTAAAAGAGCAATCAAGTAGAAGAATGAGGAGTGGTAGCTAATTAAATTGCTTGATTGACTTTACTTTAGTAGCTTCATTAGTTAAACTATTTTAGAAAGTGATTTTCGAGGATTTCCTTTCTTAGTTTTAGGCTTTTAGCAATTCATTTACATGTAATCCTAATCATAAAAGAAAACATTGTGATGCCAATAAAATATCCAAGAAAGAATTAAGAAGAAATCAAGGTGAAAGAAAACTCCCCAAAATCCAAAGGAGAAGGAAAACTCCATAAAACTCAATGACCATACAGTTTATCCTTTTTGTTCAATCCCGTGACACAAAATATCCCTGTACATAACATTTTGGTTCCACTGCCGGCGTCATGGGACATGTACACAGGCAACTAGGGGGTCGTGTACAAGTCGTGTACTAATTCTGTTTACAACAAGAATTTTTTATATATACTCCCTGTCCCATTGGATTTTGACAACTTTCCTTTTTTGGTTGTCCCAAAAAACTTTGTCACTTTCCTATTAAAGCAACTACTTTGTGGTTTTGCACATTTCTCTCATCTGCACAAATCTCAACCACACAATTTTTACTATTCTTATTTCTCACCTACTTTGCACTTGTCAAAGTCCACCGGGACGGAGGTAGTATTACATATGCAAGTTTGGGGTGCTTACCTCACACCCTCTAAACTTTGGGGTATTTAAAATATTTTTTCCATTTAATAATAATATGAGATTAGACATGTTGAACATGTTAAAGTATAAAATTAGCCAAGTAATAAAACGAACATCTCCCAAGTAGAGCAGGTGCCGCGTCATGGTTCCTAACCTGCACGTCACTCGCCCCACATGGGTGAAATGTTTTTGTAGAGCTTCATATTATCTTAGGATCTGGTTATCTGATTTTCCCGTGTTCAGGTTGCCCCGGGTCCATTATGGAACCGACGAGTCATTGGTTAAATCCGGGTTTAACAAATATAGCGGGTCTAATGTCTACCAGACCGGCTGCAATGCCGGGCCAGCTAGTTCCCAGTCAACCAGCCTCGTTTGGTATGGTTCTTACAACATAGCCTTGATACAAAGGCACTCAGCAGAGTCGATTGACCTTCGTGATTGAGAGTCAACGATTGTCCTTCGAATTTCAGACTTTCAGAAGGCCTCGGTTTTGGGTTGGCTTCTAAAAACAAATTCACTGAGATTTTAATCTCCCTTGGAGCGACGCCTGGACTGCGTCTGAACGACGCCAAAGGAGTCTTATCTTCTTCAGGCGAATCAATCTCATAAATCTCCCCTTTCGACCCCTCTCCATCGCCAGGACACCTAGTCGGTGACTAGGCGATGCCGTAACAACCTTGATGAGTACTGTTAAGTATCTAGCTAATTACAGAGAGATTTCAAGGAAGAGAAATAGGAACGAAGATGAACAGTAGAGAAGAGCAGGTATTTCGATTAACAGAAATGAGAGAGAAAGTATCTTGACAGTTAAAGAGATGTCAGCTCTCCGGTCCCAGCCAACTACCAAATAACAGCCTGCCTCTTTACTACAGTAGCTGCCTATTTATAGAAGTGCCCCCGACCCCTTTTACAATTCCCAGCTACTTATTATTTCCTTTTCTTCTAGAGTACCCTTTGTCATAATTGCTAACACTATTATTATTACTGAAGGGCTGACTTCCAGTGTCTCTAACATCACTCCCCCCTGAAACTACCACCTTGCCCTCAAGGTGGAAGTCAGGAAATTGCTTCTGAAATTGCTGCAATTCTTCCCGGGAGTCTTCAAATTCTGGCATATTCTTCCACCTCACAAACACTTCAGTTTTCCCAACTGAGTTAATCCTGCTATCCTTGATTTCTTCTCGCAATACTTGCAATTCCCATTCCTCTGAAAGGCACTTAGGTAGAGGTTGTGTTTGAGCAGCAGTAGATACTGTTTTCTTCAACAAAGATACATGGAACACAGGATGCACTTTACAATTTTCAGGCAACTTCAATTTATAGGCTACAAGATTGATTTTATCAATGACTTCAAAAGGCTCATAAAATCTAGGGCTCAAACTTCTGATTTATTCTTCTGGCAAGAGTCTTCATTTTGTAGGGTTGAATCTTCAAATATACCATCTCCCCTACGATCAGCTGAACTTCTCTTCTTTTCTTATCAGCTTGTTGTTTCATTTGGTTCTGTGCAATACTGCAATGACCAAATTACTTTTCAATTCTTCTATGATCTCATTCCTTTCAGCTGTTAAGCCTGTTAATCTATCCACCTCTTCTATTGATGCTAGGGTTACATCTCCCCTAATCAGAACATGTGGATCCTGTCCATAGAGTGCCTTATAGGGACTTTTCTTGGTTGACACATGATAGTTTTTGTTGTACCAAAACTCTGCCCAAGGTAGCCATTGGGGCCACTGTTTTGGTTTCATCCCAGTCATGCACCTGAGATAAGTTTCCACACATCAGTTAACTACCTCAGTCTGCCCATCTGTCTGGGGATGATATGCAGTAATATACTTCAGCTTAGTTCCAGCCAACTTAAACAATTCAGTCCAAAAAGAGCTTAGGAAAACACCATCTCTATCTGAAACTATGGTTTTAGGAAAACCATGTAATGTGACAACCTCCTGTATGAACACTTCAGCCACTCCCTTGGCATTATATGGGTGTGTTAATGCAATAAAATGTGCAAAATTTGTCAACCTGTCCACCACAACTAAGATTGTGTCTTTTCCTTGAGCTTTAGGCAGTCCTCCAATAAAATCCATACTGAGATCAGACCAGATTTGATTAGGAATGGGCAGAGGCTGCAGTAATCCAGTAAGGCTTAAGGTCTGATACTCTGATATTTATTTCTTTGACACGCCTCACATTGCTACACATATTGTTTGATAACTTTTCTCATTCCCTCCCAGTAAAATAGAGTAGATACCATCTTCATTGTTTTGAAATTTCCAGCATGTCCCCTAATAGCAGACTCATGAAATTCCTTGAGGATGGTATTAATCCTAGCAGAATTCCTAGGGATAACCAGCCTTCCTTTAAAATATAGAAGCCTTTGCCTAATCTTGAAAAGAGTAATTAAGTCCGGATTTACCCACAGTTTATGCAAAATGCTCTTGTATTTCTCATCTTCCATTAGTTCAGTTTCTAGCCCATCCCACTCCTGACAGGGGATCATAGCTAGAGAATAGAAGCGACCCTTCCTTGATAATGCATCTGCAGCCTTATTTTCTATCCCTGATTTGTATTTGATAACAAAGTTGAATCCCAGCAACTTAGTCACCCATTTCTGCTGATCCTCCCCCAATATCCTTTGTTTTGTAAGGAATCTCAGACTCTTTTGGTCTGTATGGATTTCAGATTTTCTTCCTAACAGATATGGTCTCCATTTTTGTATAGCTAAGACAATAGCCATGAGTTCCCTTTCATAGACTGATTTATTTTGATTTCTGCTAGATAGGTTTTGCTCATATAGGCTACTGATCTACCTTCCTGCATCAAGACAGCTCCCACTCCTTTTCCTGATGCATCCGATTCAATCACAAACGTTTGATTGAAGTCTGGTATCTTCAATACAGGTAGTTGGGTCATTCTTTGTTTTAATTCATCAAATGCTTTCTGGGCAACTAGGTTCCACTGAAACCCATCCTTCTTCAGAAGATCATTTAAAGGAAATGCTATTCTACTATAGCCCTTTGCAAATCTTCTATACTATCCTCTAAGACCCAAGAATCCTCTTAATCCCTTGACATCAGTTGGGCATTCCCAGTTTAACATATCTTCTATCTTACTAGGATAGTATAGGCCAACTATTTCAGAAATGATATGGCCCAAATAGGCCAACTGCTTTTGACCAAAAGAACATTTCTTCTCATTCACCGCTAGCTGATTTTCTTTTAACAATTGTAACACCTTACTGACAGAAATCCTAGTGCTCTTCTTTTGTTTTGCTGTATATCAGGATGTCATCAAAGAAAACTAATACAAATCTTCTGAGATATGGTTTCAAGAATTCATTAAAGCCTGAAAGTGAAAGGTGCATGGGTAAGTCCAAATGGCATGACCAGATACTCATAATGACCTTCATGAGTTCTTATAGTTGTTTTATGAATGTCATCTTCACTCATTCTAATTTGATGATATCCTGATTTCAGGTCAAATTTAGAAAAAAATATGTGCATTGTTTAGTTCATCCAACAACTCTTCAATGATTGGAATAGGGAA